ATTCATAGATCCGGTCTCTTTACTGCCTGTCTCTTATACACATCTAGACTTCATAATAATCGAACGAAATCTTATTTATCGGCACCTCATAGTCAATCAATAAAAAATATTTGTTGTTTGCAAATATAGCCACATGCGCAATAGCAAGAATGTTCCTCTTAATGTAAGGCTGCCACATAATACATATTAGTCATTACTCATTACCTTCGTTGGGATAAATGTAGCCATAAGTACACTGCTTCAGTATTGCTCTATCTTTCAAAAATGTTAACGTCAATATTAACAAGAATTTCGCCCCGAGCCGAAATTAGTGAGGTGGTGACATCTCCACAATTGGATTCTTAATTTATACCTACCTTATCGAAACTGCCCCGCAAACAGTTATTTCTTATCTAAATTCAGTCAGAAAATGCTTTTCTAATTCTTCAATAATGTCAACTTGCTTTGGTGATATTCCTAAACTAACACAAAATCAATTACAAAAAGTACACTTGCATATCAAACAGTACCTAAATGCAATTTAAATTGTTCACCATTATTCGTTCCCGATTAATAGTTAGTGCGCATCGCGTGTTTGCCGCCACTAACAAAGGTACATGTCATGGCAACAGTAGGCCTACTCACACGATGATAGCACTTTCAATTGCTATAAATAATGGCTTATGAGTACGAAAATTTTATGTTATCTTAATATGCTGCAAAACTCTGAATAACACAAGTGCATAGGGCGTTGCTTCCTAAACATAGTCCCCGGGCCCTACCATGTTAATCAGCCTCCAGAAACAAGAAATTCTTAGTCACAAGCCTTCTTGATTGGGATTGTTAAAAAGTACTAACCAATGGCTACACATGGTATTGACAAATTTTGTCCAATATTGTAGGCCTATATATACTCACGTTTTTCAATGCGCATAGACTTGTATTTCTAGAGCAATCATTTAGAATACAGAGGCATGGAATATAAATACCTCAACAACTCCATGTTCGCCTGTGGTTTTTGAAAGTTTGTGTATGGCACCATGTGAAGCCCGGAATTGGCACATCCAGTTTTTTTTGTTTCTATCTTTTTTTCGCGCCCGGCTCAGTGGAAGGTATTGGACAACTTTTGTTAGCGACTCACTGTTTCTAAACTTCAAGAGTGGCAGAAATCATAAGTCAACACAAGGATGTACCGTACCGTGCAAATGTTTGCCATTTACACAAGATCCTTTCAGTTAATGTGGGAGTATCCTATAACCGCGTAACTTGTTCCTCGTACTGGGCCCAGTACGATCGGCTTGAAACCGACACATCTGATGGCGTTCGACGCGAAGTCTTTCTAACGTCGCCATTACTTTTCAACTGACCATTGTCCACGGCTGGTTCTAGCAACGACTTAGGCGATGTTCTTTGTGTTGTTTGATATAATGGATTTTCTTCAGATTTGTAGTCTGATGAAGTACTCAGTGTTCGATCGACACCGTTTTGTGGAGACCTGTTTGTCTTTTTGGACAAATCAACCCTTGCGTATAAGGATTCAACGTCATCAGGCTGCTGGAAACTGTTCACACGACTGTGACTAATAGGCTTACGATCGTCTTGAGTCTGAGGAGCTGGCGACATTATACCACTATTCATAAGAACACTACTGACATTATTGGATTCATTGACAGCACCAAAATCGATTCGATGGTACGGATCATCTTCATGTGTTTTAAATACATCATCGTTTTCAAACGCTAAGTTCACGACCCCACCAGCGCCGCTCCCGTCCGCGGAGTCGTTTGAGCTGGGGGAGTTTCGATCCGACGGTGGTAGGCCCGAGTCTGCTCTGCTCCGTGGGCTGTCAGGTGAGAGACCGTCCGACCAGAGCATGTCATTCATAGATCCGGTCTCTTTACTGCTGATAAAATTGATCTGTTTGGTAACTTGTACTTTCCTTCTCCTTGGTCTGTGGGGTTGAATTTCAATAATTAATTCATAAATCGTAATATAAATCCAAAATGAATTTGAGCACGCACAACTCGATCTGATATTCATATTTTATCAGATAAAATACCAAACAGGAGATTAAATTTTGGTACAATATGACAATGTTTTTAATCAAACTACAACAAAAACCATGAGGAATAAGGAAAATATGTTTCCCACTTCCACCACCCCGCTAGCCCCCACCCCGCCAAAAAAAAAAATAAAAAAATTACCGTATTGTCTTTAATAAACGTCCCAATCTAATAAACACTCCCTGTTAAATGTGATGTCAAAAATGGCTGTCTATTTTATAATTAACATCAGTGTAATGTCAATACTGTAATAGTATAGGCCTGGTAAAGTCGGAAAAGAGTAGGATATTGTTGCCTGGTGTACTGTCCAATCACTATCAGAAGGACCAGCTGGAAATAAGTCTTTCGTGGGTTTTCCGATAAATCCAATGCACAGAAACATAATACAGATACCAGGTCTCCCTCCAATTGGGACGACACAGAAAAGTGGTTTTTAATTGGAGGTGGTCTTTAATTAAAGGGTTTTTAATTAGAAGTAGACCTGCATTTGCTTGTTAATACTTACGATTTCAAACAAGCAACAGTGAAGATAATGGCCAAGAACAAGACAGAGAATACACCAGCAATGATTACAATAAGCACCATAAAGTCTGAAGGAAACAAAATGCAGTAAGTTACAAATATAAAATAATCCTAATAATGATGACAATAATTTTATATTAATATTGTTATAAACATAATAATTTAAAGCATTAAAAAAATATTAGTTACCTGTACTAATAAATAATATTTGAAACAACGATAATGATGATGTTGATAATAATAATAATAATAATAATAATAATAATAATAATAATAATAATAATATTAATAATAATAATAATAATAATAATAATAATAACAACATAATAATGATGATGATGATTTTGATGATGATATTCATGACAATGTTGATAACAATAATCATAACTATTTTCAGAATAGTTTAGTCTGCTTATATCAGATATGTTATCGTCCATTCAATGGTGTATGACCCCGGTATAAAAGAAAGCCAAAATGCATGTAAAAGCCTACCTGCAGGGGACTTTTCACCTTTGGCTTTCTCGTTAAAGCCGTCACTCGTAGTTGACGGTGACAGGGATTGAGAAGACGATGGTACATTTAATGACGTCATGGAAGCATCGAGCGTTGACATTTCGTTAGCAGACGACATATTATCATCAACAATTGTTGTTTGTAAATTATCTTGTTTGTTTGTGGTTGAAGGTATTAATAATGTTTTGCTTGCAGACGTCGTCCTGTGTACAGTTGTCATGAGTTGCATTGTCGTCGCTGATTGAGTTGTCGTCGCTGAGTTCGTGGTCGTCGCAACTTTCCTGCTTGTTGCCGATTTGGTTGTCGCCGATTGGGTTGTCGGTGGTTGCATTGTTGTTACGGGTCGTCCAGTGGTACGTACACGCGTTGTTGTAGGGCGTTGCGTGTTCACATTTGTTGTTATCGTTGTCGTGTCTGCTAACAAATAAACAAAATAAACAGGTGTTTCATAATAAACGGTACACCATTTATAAATTATCGTAAAATTATCGTTGCAATTTAGATAGCCCCTACATATTAAAATAATAACCTTACCAGTTAGACAGATAGGTTCCTGGCCGGACCAACTACCATCTGCAGTGCACATACGCATTGGATCACCAATTAAGGTAGCGTCTGGGTTAACACAGAAGTAAGTCACATATTCTCCATACTTATATGGCCCAGGGAGGACAGACGTACCTTCCGGGGCTAAAGGTGGCGAACAGAATACAACTGTCCAAGGAAAACAAAATAGCCATTTAAGTTTAAGTGATATGTCTGAAAATTTTAAGTTTATGTCAAGTGACGATCAAAAAATCATCTCAGAACCATCACCATTATCATTCAATTCATCATTCATCATCACTCCACCATCATCAACCTCATTAATATTATCATTAGTATCATCATCATAATCATTATTATTATCATCATGGTCGGGTAGTCGTTGACATCATAATATTTGTAATAATTTTAACAATACAAAAATATTTATTATTAGTATTATTATCATCATACAATTATTTCCATGTACATAGGCCTATTCCTTACACAATGACTTAATAATAAATTAAATTAAACAGAATTAAAATAACATAATGTATTTTGATATTTATAAACTAGTATGGTCCATAGTTAAGCTAGGTCAATCACGTAGGCTAACAAGCTTTTTAGAATTGTGTATGCTATAATTCAAGCTTTCAGAAAAATAATATCAGTGAAATTGCAGGGACATAGAGCTTCGAATCAACCAATTAATTTGAAATTTGGTAATTAATTTGACTATATTTCTACAAATTCATACAATACACTTACGAATACAATATATGTCCACTCCCGACCAGGTACCGTCAGCTTGGCATTGCCTTGTCGTATCAGAGGACGGCGTGTAACCAACGTCGCAACGAAATGTAGCTATACTTAAATATGTAAAATCACTTCCGATGACAATTACGCCCTCTCCTAGCCCATTGATACTACAGACTACCGCTGTAAGAACAAACACATTATTATAGGACTATTATATTATTGTAAAATCCATACCTTTCTGATCATTTTCGTAGAACTAATAACCTGCATAATTATTTTACTCGTGGCAGTATGTACAACTTTTGTTGTCCAAGGTATAGGATCGAATACATTCTATTGTAATGTTATTAAAGAATGGAATAAACCTCCTGATTATATTAAGCAAATATCAAATTCATTCCAATTTAAAACGGAGCTGATGAAATACCTTAAACAAGGACACAGAAAATGATAATTAATACTGTAATCTTTTTTAAATCGTGCTATCACTCAAACTTGTATTGTTTGTTCACTTAACTATTCTGTAACTTAAAAAACTTCTTTCTCTATTTGACTACTTTTTATTTCCCATTGTTAATTTTTTTTTTTTGCCCTATGTAATTTACAAGGGACCACATTGGAAATAATTTGTTTTATTTTAAATGACTTTCATGTGTTATCCCTGGCATCATTACATGATGTTTTTTTTTTTATTTATTTTATTTTACCTCACTTAGTTCCCGTCTCTTTTCATGTTTTGCTTCCTAACGTTTTTAATATTTTATCATTTATGTATTTTTAAGATGATGAAAAAATAAATGAAATGAAAAAAAGAAATATATTATATTAGCACAGTATGTTAATAATCATTAAATTATTACCGAATGTCATAACGTCTATTGAATTTTCTCTAAGCAAATTGACTATTTGCCTAGGGTATAAGGTGTGCGCCCTCACTTAATCACTTCAATGTTCTATACAGTTGTAACATTACAGTGTGAACGCAACCTACCTTCACATGCGAAATCTGTTGAGTTAAAATTCCAAGTTCCATCACTTTGACATGTGGCTAAAATAAATTCACTTGTGCCCGTGTATCCAGTTAGGCACGGTAGCACGTACTGTTCCCCCTCAACGTTAATACTGCTAATAAACTCCTCGACTGGTATGGGCGTTCCACGGTTACTTCCCAGGGACGAAACTTGCTCGTTGCAAACCGTCCGACACTCGGGCGATGGATTGTCCCACATTCCAGACGCTAAACAAGTCCTAGTTGGTTCTCCCAACATAAACGCCGTTCCTTCACAAATATATGTTATTGAATCGCCTGCAAAGTATTCAACTTTTTCGCCCTTATCTATCCTTCCTTTGAGAACCGAATTTGGCTGCGGACATCCAGTTGACCGATAAAGAGCTAGAAATGGGGGAAAAGATACATTGAAATCTGAACCAAACACTACTAAGAACACAGTAGTGCCACTGAAACTTTGTATTTTCATTTCAGAGTATTATCCAAATATATTACTAATTCAAAATTTTGGCTTTTAACAGCAATTTCTCATTATTAATCCAAATTCTCGGATTATAGTTCAGTTCAGCTTGTTTAATTTTAATAATAAATGCATATTTGGGCTTGATGATGTCATTGAATCTTATGTATGGACACATTATAGATTATTATTAAAATTGATTTTTTACGTTTAACGAATGGCTCACAATATAGCCAAAGGCGGCTTGTTATCAAAGATAATAATATCTCCCAGGTCGTAGATGTGTATTTGAACACATATAATATACGTCGCGGACTTTTCATTATTGTGTTTATTATAACGGGTTTGAAACCCAGTTGATTAAGCAATTCTCTTCCGCTATGTAGGAATGGATTGCATGGAATATATATACTCCATTTTTGTTATCTTAATATAAATATTTTTATGCTAAATATATAATATATATATAACAGTAGAAATATTAAATAATAACAATAAAAATTACAAATAAATAACAATACATTAAAAAAATAGCAATGATATAAAAAAAAAACTTCAATCAATCCCCTTTCTAAAGCAATTTTACACTATGGCCAAACCGGAGGTTTACGGCTCATACGACAGTTTTACCTCGGTAATTGCCCTGTCATCTTGGGCATTCAGTTTTAAAATTTCGCAGTTAAAACATCAAATGCTAATTTACCAGTTCGTTATTAAATATGAGACAGTCAATGATATAAAGTTTTACAAATTATTCTGAAAATAATCTACCGTAAAACCGCGATATTTTTATTTTTATTTTTTTTAGCGAACTTTTGATTGGCTTCTATTCAAGGCAACATTTGCAAAGTAAAGAGGGGGTTTCTTTTCAAAATGAATGCTGTAAATTTTGGGAATTAGTACTACAAAACAATAAATAGGGCGACTGTGATATGGATGGTATTAACCGCCATTAAACCTTCTAAACTACTGTATAAACCACGCCAAGCATGTTTTTAATGTAGGTTATTTCTTTGAAATTAATGTGCAGTGTATATACTGTACTATACCGAAAAGAAAGCCTATGGTATATTGAAAAGAAGCCCGGGGCTTCTCTTTGAGATAAGAGTTCTTTTCGAGGCTAATTTTGCAAACTGTAGAGGTCCGCTTCAATTTGAGATAGGCTTCTTGTCGAGATTAAGCCCACTGGGCTACAATTCGATGTTTTACGTGTATATTCATTTGGTATCGAATATATAGATATATGTTTAAGTTAACATTAGGCACGTGTGATAAAGCCTAATAATTATCATTTTCTCAACATACTTGTCTAAAGTAACAGCCGCACAGAGCAATCAAACAGCAAGTAGTAGAGCTTGTGTTTATATTCATGTATAAATACGAATTTAAGATGTTTGATATGCTGTGAAAATCCTAGCTCTTTTGTGTGTATGAAAGTAAATACAGTCACTGTAATCCTACCACATTCTGTTCCTGGTACTATAGTCGCAGTATCTATTATGATGCAAATAACTTTTTTACAATTTTCAAAATTTCAAATTACAATTTTCTCATACTTCAAAAAAAAATAATTATGAGCTCCAGTCATCGAATTTGCCATAAAAAGCGGTAATAGCAAATATTTTTGGCTTGCTTGTATCAGGACCCGTGTGTACGTATAGTAGTATCTTATACAGGTAAACAATCTGGCATCTTAGGGGCGATATCATGAGGTTAAAATTTACTGACAGTAATTTGTTTTATGTAATTTCATGGCATTTTTAAGGGATTAATAATTGTAATCATCATGCGAATACTGACGTAATTATAATCATCATCAGCATAAACCCCCACCCATTTCAACACTACTACCATAACCACGTTAACTATCATTATTGTCATAATTCATACCGTGTATCTCTCTATCTATATACATATATATACATACATACATATATATATATACATATACA